ATTGACAAAAACAGAACCTGAATCCAGGGGCAACTCGGGAACTCAAGGAAATTAGTCTCTGGGACTCTCTTCCAGCTTCACGCAAGGTTAAAACTGGCCGTTTGAGTCTACTTAGGTCACCAATTTCATTTTTGAAAACTCGCTTCTCTGGACTCCTCATTCCAAACGAGTAAATCTGCTGGATCACTCGCACACCACCTCCCAGAGGCAGTTCCTGTCCACAAGTGCTACGTGTCCTTGCCCCTGAGCTTAATCCTTTCCTCCTTTCAAAACACTAGCCGTTTTCGACCAGAAAGTAAAGCAGTGTGGAAGGGACGAACATGCCTCACCATCTTCTAAGAACTGAGGTCCAGAAGTCCTTTCCTCAGAAGCCACAGGCAAGCCAGTCTGAAGCACTGCTGGGGTGACAGAACGAAGAGTCAAGCCGCTAACCTCTAAAATCGCTGAGGAAGAATGGAGGTCCGCCTTCAAAGGGAAGGCTAGTTGGGGCGAAGACACTGTATCACCCAAAGGGCTGTCGGACCAGAGTTCTCGGCTGGTGGTGGCGGGTGGACCCAAGCTGAAATCAAGTGGTGAAATACTGTGGGTGGTGTATTCGTCCGCTGTGGACCATTCATCTCGAAGGGTATGATCCTGGGGGGGGAAAGCTAAATCATATCATAAATAAAACACACACACAGAAAAAAATGATTTTAAGACAAGGAGGCAACGTAACAAGGGTTCGGGGGAGCATATATTCTAACATGTCTGTTGTCATTTTCCAATTCAGCCACTCACTAGTTGAAAACCTAGTGGAAAACCATTTAGGGGAAAACCATTTTTAGGGGAAAACCATTTAACTTCTTGAGATTCATCTACGACGTGGGAATAGATGAGATGACGTATTTCCAAGGCCTCAAAGTGTGGCTGGGGGGCGGAATCACTTTCTCTTGCTTCAAGCAGTTTCTCTTCCTCTGTCACACTGGTTTAATGAATTTAAATGCAGACACATTGCTGACACCCATAATTATTTGGCAAAGCCCTGAGCACATTACCCGCAGCAGGAGTCATTATTCTGAAGGGTACTTAACTAGCTAAAGTCCTCAGATTTTCTCAGAAGTGCTGCCACATCAAAATGTGTTCTGATCAACGTGAACGAAAAGCAAGACCTGTGAAAGGGCAGAGCTCTTACGATTTGCACTTTCTACTGACATAGTAATTTTTTAATCATTTTATGTATACTACTTCTTATCTTAAAAGTTAGCTTCAATATTCCATTTTTCGGTATATGAAACCCAGGATTGATGAATCTATAGGGACAGCAAGCAGAATGCAGGGTTCAGCGGGAGGAGGGTACACTGCTGGGGAGCGGGGGGTTAAAGAGAGACGATGTCAAGAAGTCTGCAT